GCTATGTGTCCCCATCTCTTCCCTCTAGACGGTGCTATGTGTCCCCATCTCTCCCCTCTAGACGGTGGTATGTGTCCCCATCTCTCCCCTCTAGACGGTGGTATGTGTCCCCATCTCTCCCCTCTAGACGGTGGTATGTGTCCCCATCTCTCCCCTCTAGACGATGGTATGTGTCCCCATCTCTCCCCTCTAGACGGTGGTATGTGTCCCCATCTCTCCCCTCTAGACGGTGGTATGTGTCCCCATCTCTCCCCTCTAGACTGTGGTATGTGTCCCCATCTCTCCCCTCTAGACGGTATGGTATGTGTCCCACTCCCATCTCCCCTCTAGACCGGTATGGTATGTGTCCCCATCTCTCCCCTCTAGACGGTGGTATGTGTCCCCATCTCTCCCCTCTAGACGGTATGGTATGTGTTCCCATCTCTCCCCTCTAGACGGTGCTATGTGTCCCCATCTCTCCCCTCTAGACGGTGGTATGTGTCCCCATCTCTCCCCTCTAGACGGTATGGTATGTGTTCCCATCTCTCTCCTCTAGACGGTATGTTATGTGTCCCCATCTCTCCCCTCTAGACGGTATGGTATGTGCCCATTTCCCGCCGAGGTATGCTCCAGAGACATTCAACAACAGAGGGTTCCTTTAGCTCCTGGTAGCTGCCCTCCTCCACCACCTCCTCCGTATGTTGACCAGACCACACACTTGAAGTAGAAGGGACGACGACGTTTCGGTCCGTCCTGGACCATTCTCAAGTCCTCCTCCGTAGTTAAACATTCCAGTTTTGTCAGTAACTGCGCTAAGACTGCCTTTCCCGGCAAAAATCTCAGCTTTGAACGAAGTGAACTCTCACCTTCAAACTCCTGACCTGCGTCTGTTCCCCCTTGATAAAAAATATCTCTAACATCTACTGTCTTCCTTCCTCGCGTTTATTTTGAATTGTTATTTATTATTATTATTATTAAGGTGCTGGACAGAAAGTTATAACATTGTATATAGTTCCTTCATGAAGGATGTTTTTGTTACCCGAATATTTGGTTTGATATTAATACACGTAAGACATATATATTTGGTCTTGTCTTCACCATCATTCAAACTCTGCGGTATTGTAGTGTGTGTGTGTACTCACCTAGTTGTACTCACCTAGTTGTGTCTGCATAATCGAGCATTGGCTCTTGGATCCCGCCTTTTGTGCCATCGGTTGTTTACAGTAATGACTCCTGTCCCATTTCCCTATCATACCTGGTTTTAAAATTATGAATAGTATTTGCTTCCACAACCTGTTCCTGAAGTGCATTCCATTTTCCCACTACTCTCACGCTAAAAGAAAACTTCCTAACATCTCTGTGACTCATCTGAGTTTCAAGATTCCATCCATGTCCCCTCGTTCTGTTACTATTCCGTGTGAACATTTCGTCTATGTCCACTCTGTCAATCCCTCTGAGTATCTTATACGTTCCTATCATGTCCCCCCTCTCCCTTCTTCTTTCTAGTGTCATAAGGCACAGTTCCCTCAGGCGCTCCTCATACCCCATCCCTCGTAGCTCTGGGACGAGTCTCGTTGCAAACCTCTGAACCTTTTCCAGTTTCATTATATGCTTCTTCAGATGGGGACTCCATGATGAGGCGGCATACTCTAAGACTGGCTTCACGTAGGCAGTGTAAAGCGCCCTAAATGCCTCCTTACTTAGGTTTCTGAATGATGTTCTAACTTTTGCCAGTGTAGAGTACGCTGCTGTCGTAATCCTATTTATATGTGCCTCAGGAGATAGATTAGGTGTTACGTCCACCCCCAGGTCTCTTTCACGCGTCGTCACAGGTAGGCTGTTCCCCTTCATTGTGTACTGTCCATTTGGTCTCCTATCTCCTAGTCCCTAGTCCTGTGTGTGTGTGTGTGTGTGTGTGTGTGTGTGTGTGTGTGTGTGTGTGTGTGTGTGTGTGTGTGTGTGTGTGTGTGTGTGTGTGTGTGTGTGCTCACCAATTTGTACTCACCTATTTGTGCTTGCGGGGCTTGAGCTTTGGCTCTTTGGTCCCGCCTCTCAACTGTCAATCAACTGGTGTACAGATTCCTGAGCCAATTGGGCTCTATCATATCTACATTTGAAACTGTGTATGGAGTCAGCCTCCACCACATCACTGCCTAATGCATTCCACCTGTTAACTACTCTGACACTGAAAAAGTTTCTTCTAACGTCTCTGTGGCTCATGTGGGTACTCAGTTTCCATCTGTGTCCCCTTGTTCGCGTCCCACCAGTGTTGAATAGTTCATCCTTGTCTACCCGGTCGATTCCTCTGAGGATTTTGTAGGTTGTGATCATGTCTCCCCTTACTCTTGTGTCTTCCAGTGTCGTAAGGTTCATTTCCCGCAGCCTTTCCTCGTAACACATGCCTCTTAGTTCTGGGACTAGTCTAGTGGCATACCTTTGGACTTTTTCCAGCTTCGTCTTGTGCTTGACAAGGTACGGGCTCCATGCTGGGGCCGCATACTCCAGGATTGGTCTTACATATGTGGTGTACAAGATTCTGAATGATTCCTTACACAGGAATCATGTGTGTGTGTGTGTGTGTGTGTGTGTGTGTGTGTGTGTGTGTGTGTGTGTGTGTGTGTGTGTGTGTGTGTGTGTGTGTGTGTGTGTGTGTGTGTCCACTAATATTATTTTGGGACAGTTCTGTAGCTGTTTCCTGCTATGACGAGGTAAACCCAATTGGTAATTGTTTACCCAACTTACATGATTCTATCTTAAATAATCCTTTTTCTTTCTCCATTGAACAATTACATACCTAAGTTTGTTTTACGTTGATTCTCAAAGTACTTCATGTATCAAATGTTAAGAAAAAAATGACCCAGATGATACACGTCTTCTTATCTGATAAGGAACTGAACTTCTCAGTTCTTTATCTTGATTTTGTATTCTTAAAAAAAAAATATTTTGGCTAACCAGACTAACTTTAGCTAACGAACAAATCGACCTAACCTATCGAGACTAATGCGTTGAAAACGTTCATATTACGGTGTTTTAATCCTAATAATGTATACAATTTTTAACTGATACCTGCTTGATGGAGGTTCTGGGAGTTCTTCTACTCCCCAATGACTTGTGAGAGCTTGGTCCAACCGCTGTTGCTTGGAGCGGCCCGCAGGCCCACATATCCACCACAGCCCGGTTGGTCCGGTACTTCTTGAAGAAAACAATTTAGTTTTCTCTTGAAAACTAGATTCTGTTCTTCAAGAAGTGCAGATTGGTGGATTTAGTCAAAACAATGAGATGTATTGTGTAAGTTGAGAGGTTGGAGCTTGAACCTATATTGACTCCGTTGTGTGAGCTCGATGCTCTAGTTCTCTCTCTCTCTCTCTCTCACTCTCTCTCTCTCCCTCCCTCCCTCCCTCCCTCCCTCCCTCCCTCCCTCCCTTCCTCCCTCCCTCCCTCTCTCCCTTCCTCCCTCCCTCCCTCTCTCTCTCTCATCAATGGTCGTGTTGATCCCATCTCTACTTCGGCCTCTTTCTGTATTACCATGTTCCTGTTCTCTCACCTGCTGAGCTTTAGTGTTCAACATCAATAACATAACACATCTATAGGGCGGCTCCTAAGGCTTTACTAGATAAAGATCAGCTCCTGGAGTTCACTAGATGATGGTCGGCTGCTACAGCCCAGAAAGTCTCCAGAAATAGGTACTCCCTTCTCCCTAGTTAAGGAGCCCTTAAGTCAACAAACGGAGCCCTAAACTACTTGTACACCCTTCCTGATAGCTCAGTAAGGTAAGGTGTGTGTGTGTGTGTGTGTGTGTGTGTGTGTGTGTGTGTGTGTGTGTGTGTGTGTGTGTGTGTGTGTGTGTGTGTGTGTGTGTGTGTGTGTGTGTGTATGTGTGTGTGTGTGTCAGGAGAAAGTGCTAGGCCATTATGATTATATATATAGCACTTTGAAGGGATATATGAGGATAAATATTTGGGATGGGATGGGGAGGAAGGAATAGTGCCCAATCACTTCGACGGCCGGGATTGAACGCCGAACTGCATGAAGCATGACTGTCGCTCTACCGTCCAGTCCAAGTGGGGACAAAGGGAAGGTAATATGTATATACCAGCATACATACATACATCCTAACCACAACGTCGTATTAACGTGTTTTCAACCTGCTTGTTTGATGGGGTTCTGGGAGTTCTTCTACTCCCCCAAGCCCGGCCCGAGGCCAGGCTTGGGGGGTTGGAGCGGCCCGCAGGCCCACATACCCCGGGTTGGAAGATGAGCCGGGGGTTATCTTGACGATATCTTGAGATGATTTCGAGGCTTTTAGTGTCCCCGCGGCCCGGTCCTCGACCAGGCCTCCACCCCCCAGGAAGCAGGCCGTGACAGCTGACTAACTTCCAGGTACCTATTTACTGCTAGGTAACAGGAGCATCAGGGTGAAAGAAACTCTGCCCATCGTTTCTCGCTTGCGCCCGGGATCGAACCCGGGACCACAGGATCACGCGTCCAGTGTTCTGTCCGCTCAGCCACCGGCTCCCTAGGGGGAAGGGAGAGCTCTTAAGCCTGCTTAACAAGAGTTGGAATTCATGTGCTTTTCAACCTTCCCGTGTAAGGAAAACAAATATAATATTAGGTCAAATTGCTGCTGCTGCTGCTGCCTACTGTCTCTCCCTGTAGAACCTATGAATACCTCGCCCAAACCTATGAATACCTCGCCCAAACCTATGAATTCCTCGCCCAAACCTATGAATTCCTCGCCCAAACCTATGAATTCCTCGCCCAAACCTATGAATTCCTCGCCCAAACCTATGAATTCCTCGCCAAACCTATGAATTCCTCGCCAAACCTATGAATTCCTCGCCCAAACCTATGAATACCTCGCCCAAACCTATGAATTCCTCACCAAACCTATGAATACCTCGCCCAAACCTATGAATACCTCGCCCAAACCTATGAATTCCTCACCAAACCTATGAATTCCTCGCCCAAACCTATGAATTCCTCGCCCAAACCTATGAATACCTCGCCCAAACCTATGAATTCCTCGCCAAACCTATGAATTCCTCGCCCAAACCTATGAATACCTCGCCCAAACCTATGAATTCCTCGCCAAACCTATGAATACCTCGCACAAACCTATGAATACCTCGCCCAAACCTATGAATACCTCGCCCAAACCTATGAATACCTCGCCCAAACCTATGAATACCTCGCCCAAACCTATGAATTCCTCGCCAAACCTATGAATACCTCGCCCAAACCTATGAATTCCTCGCCAAACCTATGAATTCCTCGCCCAAACCTATGAATACCTCGGCCAAACCTATGAATACCTCGCCCAAACCTATGAATACCTCGCCCAAACCTATGAATACCTCGCCCAAACCTATGAATTCCTCGCCAAACTTATGAATACCTCGCCCAAACCTATGAATACCTCGCCCAAACCTATGAATACCTCGCCCAAATCTATGAATACCTCGCCCAAACCTATGAATATCTCGCCCAAACCTATGAATACCTCGCCCAAACCTATGAATACCTCGCCCAAACCTATGAATACCTCGCCCAAACCTATGAATACCTCGCCCAAACCTATGAATTCCTCGCCAAACCTATGAATTCCTCGCCAAACCTATGAATTCCTCGCCCAAACCTATGAATTCCTCGCCAAACCTATGAATACCTCGCCCAAACCTATGAATTCCTCGCCAAACCTATGAATACCTCGCCCAAACCTATGAATACCTCGCCCAAACCTATGAATACCTCGCCCAAACCTATGAATACCTCGCCCAAACCTATGAATACCTCGCCCAAACGGCCCCATATAGGGAAAATGACCTCCCGTCCCTAAAATAGAACACCTTGCCGTTCCAAGTTGTGGGTAAGAGATACAAGACATTACACAAGATGCGTGTACCCGCGACCACTCACAAGTCCCTCTTGGATAAGAGTCGACAGACACACGCATCACTGCCTGCCGGGCCTCACAATGCACGTATTTTTAGGAAAACAAAATACGAGTCTTGGAGGAAATATGCTTAGCGATGGGAATATATAGACGTTTCTGGAGGGGGGGGTAAAGCATTGAAAAATGCTTGTAAGGAAATAATTCGGGAAAGCAAGTTAATTCCAGCCACAATGTTTGTAACCAGTCGACGGACACTCAAACAAGAGCAGGCAATATGATAATTTAGCAGTCTCCGTGGTGTAGTGGTAAGACACTCGCCTGGCGTTCCGCGAGCGCTATGTCATGGGTTCGTATCCTGGCCGGGGAGGATTTACTGGGCGCAATTCCTTAACTGTAGCCTCTGTTTAACGCAACAGTAAAATGTGTACTTGGATGAAAAAACGATTCTTCGCGGCAGGGGATCGTATTCCAGGGACCATAGGATTAGGGACTTGCCCGAAACGCTACGCGTACTAGTGGCTGTACAAGAATGTAACAACTCTTGTATATATCTCAAAAAAAAAAAAAAAAAATTAACTTAGCTAATTAGTAGTTATGTGACATACGAATATTATATACAACTACGAGGACTATATATCAGAATATCCATTTTTTTGCCAGATTTATAACACGCGCAAATTGCAAGAATATTTTGTTATTTTTTTTATATATTTTTTTATATTTCATCATGTATTTCTTGAAAGTTATTTTAAAGTAGTTTTGTAGCGGAAACACACGTATTTAAGACAAAAATATATTGTCTTCACATGGTCTGTTGCATGTGAAGACACTATATATTTTGTGCTTGGCGGCCTATAAACATCCGGCCTGTCCAGCGGTAGAAAGGTTAAGCCCAATGATGCCCCATGGAGATACGACTTGATGGTGGTAGTACACAGGGCTATAGTCGTAACACATACGGCAATAGTCGTAGCACTTTTTGTAAGTAGTTGTAGTAGTAGTAGTAGTAGTAGTAGTAGTAGTAGTAGTAGTAGTAGTAGTAGTAGTAGTAGTAGTAGTAGTAGTAAGGCTCATTATTCATCCCTTAATATAAAATTTAAGATTTTGTTTTAAAGCTCCTCATCTGCTTGACTATTCGCTAGGGTGAGTGGAGAGTGCTGAGTTCTGTACTCTCTTGATCTACTCTCGATCTACTCTCGATCTACTCTTTATCTACTCTCCATCTTGAGATAGAACTCGGAAATTGAGAAGTAACTTTTATATTCTGCAGTAGACAGCCTTGTACAGAACGAGTAGTACTTTTATGTACCTTTTTGTCCTTGTACTTATATTTATTGTTTCACTTATTGCCTTTCACAAATTCATAACAAAAAAACTTTATTCCTAGATAGGTGTACATTTATAATTTAGTGTACACACACACACACACACACATATTATATATATATATATATATATATATATATATATATATATATATATATATATATATATATATATATATATATATATATATATGTCGTACCTAGTAGCCAGAACGCACTTCTCAGCCTACTATGCAAGGCCAAATTTGCCTAATAAGCCAAGTTTTCCTGAATTAATATATTTTCTATAATTTTTTTTCTTATGAAATGATAAAGCTACCCATTTCATTATGTATGAGGTCAATGTTTTTTTATTGGAGTTAAAATTAACGTAGATATATGACCGAACCTAACCAACCCTACCTAACCTAACCTAACCTATCTTTATAGGTTAGGTTAGGTTAGGTAGCCGAAAAAGTTAGGTTAGGTTAGGTTAGGTAGGTTAGGTAGTCGAAAAACAATTAATTCATGAAAACTTGGCTTATTAGGCAAATCGGGCCTTGCGTAGTAGGCTGAGAAGTGCGTTCTGGCTACTAGGTACGACATATATATATATATATATATAATGTGTACTAATTACATAAGAGTGAGACATAACAACAGGATAAGACGTTAGAATTAAAATTATGTCTCGTATTAAGTAGATTTAGGCTTTGAAGTTTTGTACATGTGATTTATAAATATCATTACAGTTCTGGCTGAAGAGAACAGTCATAGAACCAACTATTTAATTAGAATTAGAGTCTCTCTCTCTCTCTCTCTCTCTCTCTCTCTCTCTCTCTCTCTCTCTCTCTCTCTCTCTCTCTCTCTCTCTCTCCCACGTATTTTTATACAAATCTTTAAAGCTTATACAGAATTATGCATGAAAATCCTTACCATGTATTTTTTGAGCCGTGAGTTATTTTCATCTAGGCCCGTATATTCTAAAGGGATTTTAAGTACATAAGAATTTTGGAAACTACTGAAGACTTGTTGGCCCATATGAAGCCGCTTCTATTTATACCCATCCAAACTCATTCATATGTGTCTAACCTTCGCTTGAAATAATCCGGGGGTTAACCCACCATGTTTCTAAACCAATATTTACCCAGGTATTTTCTAAATTAGATTTGTATTCTGGTGAACCATTGACCATTGAGGGTAGGTGGCTCTTCTAGGGATGTGTTATGGGTTGGTATCTCCTCTAGGGATGTGTTGAGGGGTAGGTGTCTCCACTAGGGATGTGTTGAGGGTAGGTGTCTCCTCTAGGGATGTGTTGAGGGGTAGGTGTCACACTAGGGATGTGTTGAGGGTAGGTGTCTCCACTAGGGACGTGTTGAGGGGTAGGTGTCACACAAGGGATGTGTTGAGGTGTAGGTGTCTCACTAGGGATGTGTTGAGGGGTAGGTGTCACACTAGGGATGTGTTGAGGGTAGGTGTCTCACTAGGGATGTGTTGAGGGGTAGGTGTCACACTAGGGATGTGTTGAGGGTAGGTGTCTCCACTAGGGATGTGTTGAGGGGTAGGTGTCACACTAGGGATGTGTTGAGGGTAGGTGTCTCCACTAGGGATGTGTTGAGGGGTAGGTGTCACACTAGGGATGTGTTGAGGGTAGGTGTCTCCGCTAGGGATGTGTTGAGGGGTAGGTGTCTCCACTAGGGATGTGTTGAGGGTAGGTGTCTCCGCTAGGGATGTGTTGAGGGGTAGGTGTCACACTAGGGATGTGTTGAGGGTAGGTGTCTCCCCTAGGGATGTGTTGAGGGTAGGTGTCTCACTAGGGATGTGTTGAGGGGAAGGTGTCACACTAGGGATGTGTTGAGGGTAGGTGTCTCACTAGGGATGTGTTGAGGGTAGGTGTCTCCTCTAGGGATGTGTTGAGGGTAGGTGTCACACTAGGGATGTGTTGAGGGTAGGTGTCTCCGCTAGGGATGTGTTGAGGGTAGGTGTCTCACTAGGGATGTGTTGAGGGGTAGGTGTCACACTAGGGATGTGTTGAGGGTAGGTGTCTCACTAGGGATGTGTTGAGGGGTAGGTGTCACACTAGGGATGTGTTGAGGGGTAGGTGTCACACTAGGGATGTGTTGAGGGTAGGTGTCTCACTAGGGATGTGTTGAGGGGTAGGTGTCACACTAGGGATGTGTTGAGGGTAGGTGTCTCCACTAGGGATGTGTTGAGGGGTAGGTGTCACACTAGGGATGTGTTGAGGGGAGGTGTCTCCACTAGGGATGTGTTGAGGGGTAGGTGTCACACTAGGGATGTGTTGAGGGTAGGTGTCTCCGCTAGGGATGTGTTGAGGGGTAGGTGTCTCCACTAGGGATGTGTTGAGGGTAGGTGTCTCCGCTAGGGATGTGTTGAGGGGTAGGTGTCACACTAGGGATGTGTTGAGGGTAGGTGTCTCCGCTAGGGATGTGTTGAGGGTAGGTGTCTCACTAGGGATGTGTTGAGGGGTAGGTGTCACACTAGGGATGTGTTGAGGGTAGGTGTCTCACTAGGGATGTGTTGAGGGGTAGGTGTCTCCTCTAGGGATGTGTTGAGGGGTAGGTGTCACACTAGGGATGTGTTGAGGGTAGGTGTC